ATGGGAACCGGGCGCCCCTGAGCAGAGCCGCTGCCGCCCGCCGGCCTGGAGCCTCTCCTGCGCCGGGCACGTGTCCCAGCGGCTCCGTCCCCCCCACCCCCGAGATCGGGGCGCTGCAGTCACACGACTCCAGGAGCTGGGGCTTGGGAACAGCGAGGTAGCGCTCCGCGCCCCTATTGCCCCGGGCCGGGCTTGCTGCAGAGAGCAGGCGGGTAAGACTGTCCAGAGAGCCCCATGAGCTCGCCTCCCTCCCAGCGCTTGTCGGGGTCAGCCCCGGGGGGCTGGGGGGGCTGCACTGAAGCACTGTCAGGCCCGGCCTCCCTGTATCGGTGTAACGCCAGCGCTCGGGGCGGGGGTGAAAATCCGACCTGGGCTGACAGCTCGCACGTGGGAAACACCAGGACACTTTTTTTTTCGGGGGCGGGGAGGGTATAGTTGCCTATATTTAAAAAAAGCCCCTAATCTCCACCTGCCTGATCACCCCATACTAGGGTGCCTAGATGTCCCGATTTTATAGGGACAGTCCCAATGTGGGGGTCTTTTTTTATATAGGCTCCTATTACCCCCCACCCCCTGTCCCGATTTTTCACACTTGCTGTCTGGTCACCCTAACCTATACTGACCTAACACCCGCCCCACCCCAGGGGACAGCACTGTGTCACAGGCAAGGTTCTCCTGCCGCCAGAGCGACCACCTCTCGGGGAGGTGGACACTACAGGAGAAGTAGTCGCGTCTTCACTAAAGCGCTACGGCCGCTACATCAGGGCTCTAGCTCTGTACCTGTAGACAAGCCCTCAGACTTTGAACTCTACATTCCAAGGCGCTTCCCCCCCATTACGTGAGCAACTGTTTTATCCAAAAATCTCTTCGGGACCCAGGAGTGGCTTTGCATTGAAGAGGATTATTTCTAGTTAGAAGTCTTATTTTCTCATCTGAAGTGGAGGAATTCGACTTTTGCTAAGTGAGCAGGGATGCTTCATGGACAGGGAAGAACGTTAAAAAAGCAAACGCTTTCAGTGGGTGGCATTAAAATGCGAGACAAGAGGAGCTGCGTGACATAATAGATAAGAGGCTGGAACACAGGATTTTAATTGAACTTCATTGCTCAAATCTTTTAGAAAGCAAAATATTCAAACTCCAACATTCCTGGTTTGCTTTGTTCTTAACTGTAGAAATATTTCAATTCACACACCCCCATTCTATTATTTGCCAGCTTGATGTCTCTCCCACTTCCACCAGACTGGTGCCAGCAGAGGAAAGGCGGTAAACCCAAATCCAAGATGGAAATAGGAAGGCGCGCGCTCGTCCCACTGCTGATTATTATCTCTGTCGAAGGGACCGCAGCGATCTGCTCTGGAAATCTGTAGCATTTACCTTCCCCACATTGGTAAATGGGAGTGAGGATGCGGGAAGGGAAGACACAGCTCTATTTATTTATAAGTATTTTCATGATGCTCATCACTCAAGTATATGAGCACCTTGCCCGCTTTAATCATTTTAACTGCCCAGCTTCCCTATGAGGTAGGAAGTGTTACCATCTTTGTTATCAGCTGGTGAAACCATGCCACAGAGAGGTCACATGAGTAACCTGCAGAATAGCAATGGTCCAGATCACCTGATGTTTAACCACAGGATGATCCTTCCTCCCTAGTGGAGCTGTAGTGGTGCTAACTCCCACAAGCCCTTTAGGCAGCAATTAAAAATTTACCTATATTTTGCCGTCAGTTGACTATAGCCCGAAGCACCCAAGACAGAGATGATCTGTACACAAGATGTGATCACTAGTAGTATGCGAGATTCTATCTCATGTAATAGCATCATCAGTAGTGTGTTAATAAGTGCCTGGCGAAGACTGGTGCCACCAATGTACCACAGATTATCCTTAGAAAAGTAAAATGGCATCTGCTCACACCCCCAGTTTCCATCAGTGTACTGGCAGAAGTGAAGCTGAAAGCTTGTCAATAATTCCAGCCAGCGATTACCCCACGCTTCCTCAGGCGTCTCTCCGAGTTCTGAGCCCCAGTCTGACCTCACATCAAACTGCTCAGGAGCTCTCCATGTCCCATCTACCCTGCTGGGTCAGGACCCAGCAAAGGTGTTTAGTGGCTCCTAGAAGTATCAGAACTAGCTTCTTCCAGCTCAAACACAGAGCTCCAGGAAAATGGCTTTGCCCAGTTAACCTTCCCCACATACAGTCTAAGCTCTAACAAAGGGCCTCCGGTACTTTCTTGGATCCAGCTGCTCTTCTGGCCAAACATGTTGTCAGCATCTCTGCTGTGCTCTCCGGAGAAACATCTTACCCCTAACTAGAGCTCCTCCCAGCTGAGAGACAAGTCTCTTTATAGCTGTAGCCAGTTTCAAGTATGCCCAGTCACCCTCCAGCCCTGCCGTAATCCCTTCCCTGTCAGACTGCATGTGAAGGCGTGTATATTCCACCACAAGACTATGTTAGAAAATACTGGTTCAAGACATAAAGCTCAGAAGAAAAATAAAGAGCTACATTATGTCCGTGGTTCCCTGTTAACATGTTGTGGAAGGCTTGGTGGGTTTGTCGGTCACTTCTGAAGACCTAGATTCAAATCCCCCTTGAGCTTGGTGTTCTCATCTTACTCCTTACTGAACACCTGCAATGCCCACATGATTTCCAGGATCTCTTTAACAGAAGTTTCTTAATGGGGAAGGGGGCATAGCAAGGGCTGCCTGAGACACAGAGATGAGCTGGAAGAAGACCTCATTGGTCACCCTTGGTGACACCACAGTGAGGTCTGCACTCAGCAGGGAACAGAATGAGGTGTCAGCTTCTACCCTGTTTCCCCGAAAATAAGACATCCTCCGAAAATAAGGCCTACTTACAGTTTTGGCGCTCTCGTTGTAATATAAGGCATCCCCCCGATAATAAGACCTCCCCGATAATAAGGCATCCACCGATAATAAGGCATTTTTCATTTCTGAAAAATAAGACATCCCCTGAAAATAAGACCTAGCGCATCTTTGGGAGCAAAAATTAATATAAGACACTGTCTTATTTTCGGGGAAACAGGGTAGTATCTCAGTTCGTGGTTAAACTTTACAACCTGCAAAACAAGCTGATTCTCCTTGAACAATTCCCCACCAAGCTGGCTGATCCACAGGGAGAGCTGTGAAGGGAGGCCTTCTCCTGCTTGCAAAGCAAGAAATGCCCAGGGGAGAAAACATTAATGTTTGCATCGGTTTAATACTTTTAAAAATCTGCCTTTGAGTTTATAGTTAAAAAAACAGTTGAAAAATACTGACATCAGAAAATACAAATCTACAAATACAAATCCACCTGTAAGGATGGAGCAGCACAATACACATCCTTCCCAGCCTGAATGGTGCGATATAGCAATTGCAAATGCATCTGAACACAGTTCTTGTCAACCATATGACTTTTAGCATGAGAACTAATCATGTTTCATTTCTTGGCACACAAAGGGCATCAAAATACATAGACAACAACGCTGAATGGGAAGCAACGGGCCATAGCCCATTAGGTTCAAAACACCCAGACCAGCCTTCCTGAACTACATGTCTGGCCCTCGTGACAAAGTAAATGTGATCTGCGTGTAACTGATATAATGTTGCTTTCCTGCCAAGCTATCTGCAGACATCCTGCTACAGCTCTGAGATGGGATCTTCCCCATTCATCGCAAAGCGTGGTTAACTCTTACGCCTCAAGATGTCACTCTAAGGACCAGATTTTCAAATAAAGTGAAAAGAAGAACAGGAGCACTTGTGGCACCTTAGAGACTAACAAATTTATTAGAGCATAAGCTTTCGTGCATATATGCATCCGAAGAAGTGGGCTGTAGTCCACGAAAGCTTATGCTCTAATAAATTTGTTAGTCTCTAAGGTGCCACAAGTGCTCCTGTTCTTCTTTTTGCGGATACAGACTAACACGGCTGCTACTCTGAAACCTGTCAAATAAAGTGGGT